CTAAACTCTAACTCAAATATAAAAGAAGTTTTTAACTTAGCAGCATTTGTCTTCCGAGAATCATGTGACAGCAAAATTAAATACAGATTGCCATTTTTCTTTCTGGAATTGGTACCTAACCAAAGTCGGACAATAATATGCCACACATATTTTCTGACTTCACTTTATAGGAAACAAAACACCATGCTGAAACCTTATCTAGCCTAAATGCGCACAATGTATGCATATACAACGCAATTTTAACCTTACATGGCTCGGTAACTCGTGATATATGCACATCTCTGGAAATTTCACATCTCTTGTCAAAAAGATGGTGGAAAACATATAAAAGAGTGGTTATGTTTGCAATTTGAGCGTTATTTCGTTATTAAAAAGCATTATTTTTTTTCGCTCTTTCTCGACTTTTATTTTTATTAAGCTTTCACTTATCATGACTTCTGATTGCTTATTTGTAAAACTTACTGAGCATCTATATAATTTAAAAACTGAGCATATTATGGCAGCCACACTTATTTATCAAGGATTGGAGAAGAATCCATGGATTAGCAAGAATAAACTGAGGGGCATTGTGAATAGAGCAGTTGACTTGATAAAAAGTTCGACTACTACGAGTTCTAAACGCAGTGAAAACTTAATCAAATAATGCCACAGGTTAGCTACAAAATTTTCAGAAATAAATAATATTGATATACAGAATGATGAGTAACGCAGATAGGGGCGCGTTTCTAAGGAAGCGGGTATGACAATATAGATTTCCCTATTAGCCCGCCAACAGGAATTTTCCTCGACAGCGTGGAGGGTGTTTATATTGAAGACCATATTTGTTTCTATGTTGATGATATTGTGCCTTACAAAGCCTTATTCGTGTAGCCAGGCCGTACCGGATGTGGCTTTGTACTATTCTGACTGCCACGTGGTTAATAATCTAGAGAGCGCTTTGCAAAATTTTGATTCTAACTTATTTTTTACATCTGCGTTTAGTTCGATATCGCATTTGATACTATTAGCAACTTGCTAGACGTCGGTGTAATAAAAATGGTATGTTTCAAAAGGGGTGAGAACGAAAAGAACTTTTAGTAACAAATATATATTTTTTATTAGAGTAAAGAGAAGCCACTTACTTCTAAACAAATCAAATATAACATCGATAAGTTAAAGGAAGCTTGCGGTAAGTAATACACAAGATTATTCGTAACATATTATCAATATTTAACAAGAAATTTTGTATTTGTTATTTTCAAGAATGGCAAATCAAAGCTTTATCAAAGATTATTTGCTATTTTGAATGGAATGTCTACTTCGGAATTGACTTGGGAAGACCCTTTAAGCAGTCAGGTCATTAGATACAATTCAAAGCTGGTTCAGCAACTAAATGACAAACAAAGAAAAAAATTTAAAGTTTGTAAACTCACGTTTTTGGTATTAAAAAATCTGTATCCTGTTACAAAAGTTAAATTTATTTCATCAAAGAAACCCGCAGAAGATATGATTCCAGCAACAATTCCCTCCTTTCTACAAGAAGAATGTATTCAATTCGTATCAAATTTTTCAACACAAAATATGTGGAGGTTACCATATCGGTTATTACACACTAGGGAATGGAAAGAAAATGAGGATCAGCTTAAAGAAGTTGCATTAAAAATTTTGGAAACATTGGGAATTATTTGGCGTAACCCAGCATTTCGTCCCGAATTTGTTGAGTCACTAAGTGAAGGGACCTGTGTGAGCAATGTAATTGTTCCATTAATTCGCGCCACCTTATTTCATAATTCTTTCGGAAAGTCTGCATTTATTAGCACGTATGTTATTTATAAAATTAAATAATAGTGGTGGTTTATTTATTTTTTTTAGTTCCGAACGTCAAAGCGTTGCAAGTGCAGACAGAAAAGGAGACGAGAAAACGGGAAGGCGACCCGACATTATGTTCGTCTGTATGGAAGATACGAACTGACGTACTCAGAATGTTCTAGAATTACCTGCACTAAGCAAAAAGAAGACGACGATGACGTTAAATTATGGCGCGAATCAAACGATGGAATGTACTGGGCGCATAAAAGTCGCAGATTGGAAAAGGAGCAATTTGGCATTATAGGTATACAGGTAGCAGGGCGTAAGTTGCTTTTGAATGTGCTTATTAGGGATGAAGTTGAAGCACATTGATATTATAATTTACGAGAATCGGTGATACCTATTCAATATTCTAACAATCCTTACGATTTAGCAGAATTCGTAAATACATTGCTAATTTTTCGGAACATACTAATAGTTAATATGTCTCTATTACGCAGTGCACATTTACGTAAATCGAAAAGAAATTTAGAAACAGGAGGAACCGTCGATGTTACACTAATGATTTTTCACCCGGTGTGCAACATATAAAAAAATCATTTTACCATACCAGATCATTCCGCTAGTACATGTTATGATTATAATCCCACACCATTTTA